GCCCCAGTCCCTGTGCATCCCTGCTTGTCCGGCCCTCCCTCTGAGACAGGAAAGCACTGACACCGCTCACCACCTGTCTAGCTAGTCAGCCTCTGCTTGGGCGTCTCCTGTTCCCAGACAGGCATCACCCATGAGGCCAGCCCCAGCTCGTTTTCAAAGTATCTGCATTGAGGAGAGGCTGGCATCAGACTCTTTGGAGTTGGGGTGATGGGCCCCAGGAGGCAGTGGGCCTCAGACCTGTCAGAAGAGGTGATGACTCCACAGCTTGTTGAACTGTGTCTGCTCATTATGTGTATTAGCCTGCCAGGGCTGCCAAAACAAATGCCAGAGGCTGGGAGGCTTAGATAATAGAAGTTTATTTCCTCACAGTTCTGGAGGCTGAAAGTCTGAGATCAAAGTGTCAGTAGGGTTGGTTTCCTCTGAGGCCTCTCTGCATGGCTTGTAGACTGCCGTCTTCTCCCTGTGTCCTCACATGGTCTTCCCTCTGTGCCTGTCTGTGTCCTGATCTCCTTTTCTTATAAGGACACCAGCCATATTAGTGTGAGCCCTAATGACCTCATTTTAACTTAATTACCTCTTTAAAGATGTATATCCAAATAAGGTCACACTGTACTGGGGGCTAGGACTTCAACATACAATTTTGGGAGGATGCAGTTCAGTCCATACTAGTGTGTTTCTGAGGAGGTGCTCAGATCTCAGGAACTGGAGGCCAGCAGAGGTCAGGATCTGAAACCTGGATTTGAGACCCAGTTGCAAGTGACCAGCGGTTTGCCTGGTCCTGCTCTAGCCCTCACCCCTTCACTGCCTGGCCAGGTGTACTCATCCTTCAGTCTTCTCCTCCTCCTCTATCTCCAATTACTCATCTGCCTGAGGCCATACAGCTCCTTATTTATACCTTCATACAGTGGTGAACATGTGAATTTTGTTTTCCTCCTGTTGAGCATGTCAACACCTATCCAGTGATGCAGTCTAGTACATGTTGAAAGAAAGAGAATGTGGGAGCAGTAGAGCCATATAGGGCCAAGCCTCTGTGGATGGCCAGTGGTCACCAACTGGTGACTGAGGGCCAAAAAGCATGGTATGGATTCCAACTTCATGTTCTGGGCCGAGGCCAGAGAGCCAGACCAGATGGGAAAGAATGAGGAGGAACATCCACATGCGCAGAGTGGCGCCTGGGGCCAGTGTCAGCCAAAGGGAAGCAGTGGGGAACGGAATCCAGCCCGGAGAGCAGACTGGGTATCTGGGATCCAGAGACATTCATGGCGGTGTTGGTGAGGCGCAGGAATGGGGGGAGGAAGGAAGTGCTGGCCCAGTCACTTACTTAGGCAGTGCAGTGTACATGGATTTCTGCCTGTTTCCTTATAAGTAAAATGAGGATATTCTCTATCATTCAAAATATTTTTTGAGGAATGAGTGATCATTTTACAACACACAGTGGCTGCCACTTTTGTGGGTGGGAGGCTGGTGTGGGTGCAGGTGATCAGGGGCCCCTGGAGACACCAGGGGAGCTCGATAGCAGGTGCGAGGCAGGTTGTCCTCTGTCCCGTGTGTGTGGGTGTGTCAGTTGGCTCACACAGTGGGGAGGCCGAGAAGTCCAAGGTCTTCTGTCAGCAAGCTGGAGTGAGTTAGGAAGGTGGGGGCCCGGGAGAGAAGAGGCGTGATCCCAGTCCGACTCCGAAGGCCTGAGAAGCAGAAGAGCTGATGTTTCAGTCTGACTCTGAAGCAGCCGTGGGCAAACTATGGCCCATTTGAAATGAATAAAGCTAAAAAAAAAAAAAAGACCCTTTTACGTAATGATGTTTACTTTGAATTTATATTAGTTCACACAAACACTCCATCCACTTTTGTTCCGGCCCTCCGGTCCAGTTTAAGAACCCATTGTGGCCCTCGAGTCAAAAAGTTTGCCCACCCCTGCTCTGAAGCCATGAACAGCCGATAGCCCAGTTCAAAGGCAGTTGGGCAGGAGCCTACTTTGGTTTTCCATGAAAACAAAAATACTCAGACTTACTGGAAACTCTGTGGGTTCATAAATAATTTAGAATTTTATCATATCAACGTGGACAAGAATGCTACAGCACATTATTTACAGTCTTGTTCATATCTGTAGCTCTCAGAGCTTAATTTGAAAGCTGTAGAAGGTTGGACTGAAGAAAGGATGGTAGATGCTAGGCATCTTTTCTCCTTGCTACCTGGATATAAAGAGTGAGATCCTGGAAGGACTGTATCAGGCAGAAGTAAACTGACCACTGGATTTATACTATGAAGTTAGACATTTTAATTTCTCAAAAGATCTAGAATTGCATCTTTTTCTAAAAGTGCCAAGTGCAACGAGGAACCTGTCCTGGAAAAGAGGAACTCCTGTGTACCGTCTCAGGGGTCCTTCAACTCCAGCTGATCCATGTGTGAGGTGGGGGGATTTCCTCCTGACTTCCCTGAGGGATGTGATCATTGGAAACACTCTCCATGGAGCATGTGATTGAATCCTTTTGTTATTTGGGTGAGAACCGAGGCTGGCAGTGGAGTTGCTGCGTTGCCTGGACAGCTCTAGCTACTGCCTGGCAGGGTGCTATTCCCAAAGACAAGCATACAGAGGCCTCAGGTCCAGGGACTTGGTGTCAGACCTAAAGGAGGCGTATTAAAGAATTTGAAATGACCCCCAGAAGGTCTCAAGGAGAAGAGCAGTTTTTTTTTACAGTCTCATCTGTCTGTCTATCCACCCATAATTCAGTGCAGTTCTGAATGTAGGTGCCTCAGATCTCCCATATTCTTAATGGAGGAGACTTGTTTTTATTTCCCTGAGACCTAGAGATTACTATAGGAAGAATGCAGACATCAATGAGGTGAAAAAGAAGAGATTCACGGCTGGTGTCTCTCCTTCCTCATTAGGGGTACTGAGTGAATGAATCACAGAAATGGGGGAGAGCACATGATAACCAGCATGGCTAGCCACAAAGGAGGACTTGCAAGTTGGGCAGATTGGGGTCTTTGCTTCTGAATCCAACTCAGTACACATTTGAGGATGCAGTTTAGCCTAGACGTGTCCTTTCAGCATCCTTAGCAGCTGGTTCCTTCTGTCTCCTAAAAACAGAGGCCTTGAGCATCCCTACGAGCCTTTCCTTGTATGGGGCAACTGGGATCCTATCTTTGGGTTGGTGCAGTTTGCCCTTCTTTACTGAACAGCATTATAACTGAATTTGGAATGTCCTAGTTACTGTAAATGGTCTTAACTTCCCTAAGAACCTCAGAAAGATGCCAACAATGTATCCTTCCTCCTTTCTAGTAAATGGCCTTAATCATCTTGGTACCCCCACCCCCATGTGGTTGAGCTGCAAGGACAGCTCTGTTTCGCAGGACCTTTTCACAAGTTCTCCCAGTGATCACTGATCCCGAGAGCTCTCAGACCTCAAGTGCTGACAGACCAGAGAATTAGGCAGTTTTGGAACTGGTGTTTTGTCCCTGTATAGTTCTATTAATGCCCAATTATCATTGTGGGCAGAACAACTCAATTGTGTGCTTATATCCTAGAAGCTTTCGTTTGTTTAAAACTTTTATTTCTGTGCTTTTATAGCCAAAAAACAAAATGTAGAACTCAGAGAAGGCTTCCTTTATTAAAGAAATTGCCTGCCAGCCACATTTGACCACAACCCTATTGAAAGGAAGGAGCCATACTAGGACAGGGAGGTTTGCCACAAAAGACAGTGACAACTGCAGAACAGGGTTCCATGCAGGCTGCACCACCCTCACAACCCTAAGGAACACTACTCACCCTCCGTCCAGAGGCTTGTGTTTAGGGCTACTCAGTTCTCCAAAAATGGCCAGGCGATTTGGAACCTTGAATGACTCTTGGGGGTGGCTGAATTGACTTGGGTTTTCCCACTACATAGATGCCCCAAACAGCTCACCTGTCCTCATTCAGCGGCTCCTGGACACTATATTTTATCTTCTTTCTAACCTCGTTAAAATCAACCATATTGCTAGTAATTTTTTTTTTTTTTTTAGATAACCAAATCCTATGCCCCTCTCAGTCAGGTTCAGTTAAACCATCTGTTATGGGATATAATTCCAAATACAGCGTGTGTGCTCTGTTACTGGGAGTCAGCCTTAGGGGCAGTCAAACAATCCAGAAGGCTTTCACTCTAAGTCTATACTCAGGAAAGTGTGTACTGTGTACTTTACATATTCTCCCCAATAGTAGTCAGGAAAAAATGCAGCAGGTTTTACTATAGATTTTCAGGTAATGTTGGGGCTGGTGAGAGGGTTTAAATGCTGTGCCATTAAACATGGGCTTTTTATCTTTAGGTTGCATCTGATGCCAGAAGGCAAACACAACCTCCACTTACGTTTTGCAAATGAATTCAACAAGTTAGTAGAAGACTTCTTACAATGAAAGTGTCCCGGAGAATCTGTGAGCTGGGCTGCCTGGGTTTCAGCTGCTGCTGCCTCTACAACCCACCCCATGGCACACCTCCCTGCACCTGCCCTCCAGCTTCCAGCTCCTCCTTCCACTACTTCTTAACATCAGGTTGTGAATTTCTGCCATTGTCTTAAAATAAATTCCTGTCATGATTTACTTTATTTGCGAATAAATCTTAGATGAGCATTTGTAGTGCTCCTGACTGCTATTTTAGGGCACCTTGAACTCATGCTGTACTTTTTATCTGAGAAGTACAAGGGGTCACCAGTCCTTTTAGTTGTATTATCACTTTGTATAAAGGAAGTACATAGAAGAAAGTCCTTGTCAAAGGTCCTGGGTTGTTCTAACTCCAACAAAGGGAAGAAAGCCTGCTTTATCCTCAAATCCCCATTCACTCCCTTACCTTTGCTGGATTCCTTTACTTTAATACTTTGAACTGGTGCAGATGGAAAAATATTTTTTTATCTCTTTATTAAAAGAACTATTACTTAAAACATTACAATACAAATTCTATTTTGTTAAAATTACTAAACCCCAAAACAGTCAAGAATGTAGTGAAAAAAATAAAAATAAAGAAACCACAAGATTTTGGACACATGCGTTTTAATTAGTATAGTATATACCTTAATTTTTAGAGGAGTGCCACATTAGTATATCAACAGTGCGAATTTCTGACAGAGGCAAAACTGAGCACCATAGATACAAATAGAAAGACCATGCTTCATTGAGGACAACAGAAATTCACTGACGTGGCACGGTGTCTCTGACAAGTTCTTAAGCC